AGAAGTCTTTCAAACCAAATTTCAAGTTATTCTTCAGTTTTTCTGAGAAGAAGATCACAAAGATTCAAGAGGACAGCACCCTGATACTACTACAGAAAGTTTTATGTTGATTCATAATTTCAACGGTGAATTAATGTTGATATAAATAATCCTAACACTGAGATACAAACTGCATATTGGTTTTGTTTATCGATCAGCATCTCCCAAAATGAACACTTACCCCACTTACTTCCAAATGTTCATGGTGAACGAGTATGCCATAAGCTGTCTTTTTAATTGAGCAACTTAAGGGCCAAGACACACATGGGAAAACTACCAGTATGGAATACTGCTGCTACAGAAAAGTGACACTAAATAACACAGAAATACATCAAAACCAATAAAATAAGCAGGAGAGGAAGACAACCAACAAACCAATCTAAGGTAGAAAATATATTTTGACAGCTTCCCATCAAACGATCCTTTATACTTCTCTAAAACTGGCCACCCAGTTTACAAGTAATGACCAGCTTTGGCTCCACAGACTGAAAGCCATATTGACCACTGCATCACACAGGTTACCAGAACTCCAGAAACTCTAGATAAACTTTGCAAAGACACTGACAGACTCCCAGTTTTACACACTGTACCCACTTTTCAGCAGGATAATTATTTATCAAACTATTTGTGCTTATATCCACAAAGCAGTCTTCTAATTTTTCACCATTTACTAATATACCACTAAACCCATCAAGTTTCCTGCTAATTTCTCCCAGAAAACTTGGAGATTAAGGACATTTGGTACATCACAACTTCAACTGGATGAAATGACAGGCTCAAGGGGAAGTGCATAAGGATTTCTTACAGAGGAGCCAGCATTCAAAGGACTGCATAGCACCTACAGGCAGAACTACAGTCTTGCAACTCAGAGCTGCAACAAAGTTAGGGCCCTGTAGAGTGACAGAATGAACCATCTGATTGCTGTAATTCCAGAGGCAAGGCCACTATCAGCTTACTTTAGACCGATTTCCTAGAAGGTCTCTGTTTAAATTGAAAGAGTTCAATACCAAAACCAGGTACAATTGCAAACTGACTTCTGCAACATCCCTTGCCTATAATCCTGAAAATGGCTCATCAGCCATCCCAGTTCAAGTTATTTCTTTGAACAAAAAGTTATTTGCTAGGACATCCAAAGCAGGTTACAGAACCTTTATCCACATAGATTTGCAAGACTCAGTTGGGCCCTGCCATGACTGACCTGATCTAGCACAGGCAGTAGTCCTACTTCAATTTGGAAGTTGGAAAGAGTGACCTCCAAAGGTACTTCCCAGCCAAATTAAAAAATGCTTAAATTTACAGAATTACAAAGAAAAATACCAACTTGACAGAAGTATTATGCAAGCACTTCCTGACTTGCCCTTTTAAAGCCATATAACTAGTATTTCAAATATCTCTAGTAATCACAGTCAAAGAAATATTTCACTACCACTAAAACATTTAAATCAGATACTAAGAGCAAGCAACTCAGACTTTTTCCAAGAACTTGTAGACTAGAAATTGACAGGATGTGTGCTATGCATAAGCCAGCACAGCAGCACCTTCCATTTATACCTCCAGTTTAAAAATGATCTCACACCATGGTCTTGAAATACTCCAGCTATCTTGCCTTTAGCTTCCTCAAGTAAGAGGAATCACACTTGACTCACTAGGAGCATACAGGTAAAACACCAAGTATAAGAAGAAAGGTACATCATATTAATTAGGAGAAGGGGCACACAAACCATAGCTGATAGACAAGTCTGTAGTCTTTCTTGTTTCAGGGCAGTTTTTCACCAGCCCATCCTCTTTACCACAACGCGCTCACACTGCGCAATGGCATACAGGTCCTTAGTTCCCAAACCCTCCTGGAATGATGGTGCAGCAAAATCCTCCTATCTTTAAAATTCTTCAGTCAAGATTATTCAGTTTGATGGAACGCAACACTAGACACATGATAAGTCAGCACCTCTCTCCAGCAGCCTTAGCTACAACTCCAACAGGAGATGAATGGATACAAGCAGCAGTCGGTAACACTCACAGCACTGAACACTCACACTCATCCAAAAGTACAATCACACCCGTTCAGGTGCACAATGATGAAAATTTCTTTTTCTGGCCAGTTGCATAGGTTTAGAGCTGATCTCACAAAGGAAAAAGGAGCACCATTTCACAGATCACTCCATCCAGACCTCACTGGTGTCAGCTAATGCCATCAAACTAAACTAACGAGTCTAGAACACACTACAGGGACCTCAGACATTGACAGGAGATCAGGGGAATAAACAGTTACTTCGCATAGCTGCAATCATATTTTTCATAGTAATGACAATTCCTCCTTCAATAGCCCTGTTTTTGCTTGAAAAAGGCTTGTCCACCTTCCCTGACACAAATAGAGCAGGGAATACAGCAGGGAAACTGACTCTGGAAGACAGGTTTTCTTACTTTTTCCTGTTAGACACAGTATTCAGAGTATCCAGGAAAAGGTATTAGAGATACTAGGAATAGCAGCCATTAGAATTAAGTGCTACACCACACAAATTCTGATTGTTTCATCCACCTCTGGGAGTTTGCTGTACAGCTGATGACCACTGTCACTCTGAGCAGGCAGACAACCACTGCATGCACATTCAGCAGGGTCTGCAGTAGGACCAGTTCATCAAAACCCAAAGAAAGTTATGTCTTGCCTCCCAATGCCTTGACTACACTCATTTCATTTTCCCTGCATTTCCCTAATTTCCATATTGCACCCCATAAATCCACATTTATATTAAGTGCAAAAATTAATTAGTTTCTATTTTTTAAACAGTTAAGATTGCAAAAAGAAAAATAGTTGTGAATTCTTTAAATATTTGAAGATTGCTAGGAGCGCACTGGCAGCTAAGCAAAGCTGGAAGAGCTAAAATAAATTCTACAATAAAGGCAAACAAAATGACAGATATAAGGGAACCACCTAAAGAAGAATGAGAAGAGAAACTGAGGAGTCAATACAAGTGGGCGATGCACAGATCACATTACAATCATCCACAAACAGCATCTTTCCTGATGCAAAAACTGAACAGAGTACTAATCAAAGCACTTTGATGTTAACTTAAGTAGAAAAGGGCCAGAACCATTACAGATTAATGCAATTCAGCCACAGGAAGGAGAAGTCAATGAAATAAAACTGAAGTTAATAAAGGTACTAGGAATGGGAAAAAGGAAGATTTCCATGAAGAGTCCTGACATACGTTTTTGGTGCTAAAAAAAACTCCATGTAGTAGAAAACTAAGACTCATAATTAATACTGTTTTGTCACTTGGAGAATAAATAAAATTACCAACTAGCACTGATTTTTTTTCTTCAAGTAATGAAGCATACCTGTATATAGCAAGTGTACTCCGTGAATAATCTCTGCAACAACAAAAACTAGGAATGCTAGAAAACAACTCTCCCCATGCCTCTATCAGAGCAACTGCTGAGTCTAAAAACATCTTCATATGTGAATTAGGAAAAGGAATAAACTCCACCATGCAAGTACTCCCTTATAAAGAAGCAGGCTGTTATCATTTTCACTGTAATGTTTGCTTAAAACAAACTGCAACAGCCAATTCCACACCACAAACACTGAAGAAACACTACCTCTTGTTTCCCTTCCCATGTAAAATCAAGTAAAGCAGAATAAAGAGCATTAACTTGTCCAGCTTTAACTCCAAACTACCACATAGACTGAGCATTCCACAAACTTGCAGGTAATCCTCTGAATTCACTGGATAAAGGCAACTTTAAAAAGGCTTGATTTTCTCAATTCAACAGTAAATCAGGATACATCATGAAATCTAATTATTAGAACAGAATTACTTAAACAGAGACAGGGACTTGGGGCGGGTAATCACTTCAGCAGCTTCTGTTGGATCACATCACACAAGCTGCTTCTGCTCACATAATTATCTCTCAACATCCAACAATCAAAATACAGCAATGGCACACTTTAGCATCTTATACCAATATGTAATATAGCACATTTTTATATATAATATATATGTTTATACATGTATAAAGTATACATAGATGTATAAAAACATATGTTTTCATTTTTTAGATACAAACAATCAGACCCTCAGTTCCTATTCCACAGTTCCTATTTTACTAGTCTAAGTAATTATTTTGATAGATTGTTGACATCATTAGCTATCTGACATGTTAGATCTCAGCCCACTACTAGGTCCTATAAGACAAAAAAAAAAAAGCCTCCTTATAGTTGGCATTTTTGACTCTTCCTAAAAAAGAAACCCACTTCTTCTGTACATGGTTGCAGACAAATTTTGCAGCCACAAAATGCAAGAGTTAGAAACAGAAGCTCCAAATGCATTTACTGTGTCATTACTCTGTCAAATCTTGACTTTGTCAAGGCCTTGACATAGCATTTTTGCAGAGTTAGTCAATTCTCAGATATTGATTTCAGCTATAAGACTAAGTAAACCACATGAGAATCAGGGGCAGTTATGAATCCAACAGTAAGGCTTCCTATTTACTGAATCGTAATTTCTCAAAAAGATCATGAATCCCATTTTAACAGGCCATCTACTAAAAGTTTAACATTTGTTAACATATTTTCAAGTTACAGAATCCTAACATACAGAATCATGTTTACCCTGGATGGAAAATGATATTAGGTAAAGTTTTAGGTTAGAGTTCCCAGATTATTATCACTCTTTTAGCCACAGTTCTGAAGCAGACTGTTCTCAGCCAGAAATCAGAAATCTGCAATATTTTAAAAGTGACTACCTGAATTTTAAATACAGCCTTGTTACCACACGTACAATTACCCTCCATAAAAACAGAGCTCAAATGCAACCTATTGCTCACCCACGATAATGAGCACCAGGAGAACTAAGTTAACCCCGGTGGCTGATCTGGAGTCACTTAAGCCAGCCGCTACAATGCGGCGCTGCAGTTCCACCAGAGCACAGTGCATGTCATGAGAAATAAACAACTTTTAATACCTGTCCTATTCAGCAATCCAGATAGGGAGATCCATCACATTAGACACCACCATCCACTCTGAAAATGTTAGTGAGATAAATAACAAAGGTTAAAGCTTTTCTATTTCCAAAATAAAATAAGTTTCATTAAATGAAAACCATACCCTTCCTCACTTTAGAGAGGGAAGAATGACTGTGTACTGAGTTTATTTAGAAAAAGAAGGGAGAAAATTATTAACTGCCAATGTGTATTCAATAATGTAGATATCACTCAATTCATTAGACTTAGCTTTAACAATGTTTTACATCATAGCCAGTACCTATTAACAATGTCCAATAACGATTTATTTTACCTGCCTAAGTGAAAGTCATGCATCTGTCACAGTGTGAAACTTCATCTTTCAGATAACCCCCTAGTGTGGGGTTTAACCAGCTGTACTGTCCATCACATCACAAGCATAACACACAAAACATAAAGCCAAATCACAGGCTTAGACCTGGTGGCAGACTGTCAGAACTGTATCTGAAGTAAAAACCTACGTGCCCCTCATGAGAAGGAGATGCTCAGTTTTCTGCTTTGAGCATACAGTAGAAAAACAGGTGTAAGGTGTTTTCACAGAGTTGTTTGCTGGACATTTGTTTTTTGTTTTATTTTAAATATTTGCAGTCTTGCCTTGGCCTTGGAACAATGGTATCAAGTTTAAGCTCAATGTCGTTTTAAACTCTGGTTCTCCCCTCCTTGCCAACCTTGCGTGGTATAAATAGTAGCGAGCGGAGGAGAGAGCAGTAAAGATATTCCTTAAAAAATCTGAAGGGTGTTCGCACTCCTAGCGCAGGACCAAAGCACTCGGGGTGCACGACAGCAAGCTGTAGCAGCTTTTCAACCACGGTGCCAGCGTTCATCTAGATAAAAAAGCTACGCCAGCAACATACCATTTCCATATCTCTCAGTATCGAAAACTCCAGATACACAGCTCGGGCCCCTGGCAGTTCGGTCCCCCCAGCGCAGGGCAGAGTCCCGCGGGGCGGGCCCCGCCGCAGCCGCACCTGCGCTGCGCCCGAGGCCGCGGCCCCGCCGCCCCTCGCCGGGCAGGGGGGAGCGCACCGGGGAGCGCACACGGGAGCGCGGCGGGCGGGGAACCGCCGAGCAGGAAAGAAGGAAAGTAAGTTGGAGCAGGATGGAGCGGCGGCAGTGACCCACTTCCTCCGCCGGCACCTCGGCGCCCGGGCAGCCCCAGCCCCGCTCCCGCGCCCGTTATCCCGACGCCCCGGGAAGCACTAACTGAGAGCGCGAAGGGGAGTGAGGGGTCCAGGGGGTACGGCACTCACATTTTTGCAAAAGACAAGAAGCTCGTACTTACGACGGCGCTCACACGCTGCCCGTCACTTATAGCTCCACTCCACTGGAGAAAACTGCGCCGCGGCCGCTCTCGCCGCCGGCGCCGCCCCCCACTCCGCCCCCGCGGAGGCCCCGGCAGCGCCACGCCCGCACCCGCCCGCCCGCTCCTGGGCAGCGCCGCCGGGGCGGCGTGCGCGGCTCCTCCGACCGGGCTGCTCCCCTCCGGCGGCCCCGCGTCCCCTCGGGCTGTGCTGTGCTGTCGTGCCCCGCGCCCCGGCCGCACCTGCCCCGCGGGTCCCCGCGCCCCGCTCCGCTCACCTGCCGCGGGCCGGGCTGTGCCCTGGGCGGTGCGTCTGTGGGCGGGGGGGCTCGGCCGGGCGGCGCGGCAGGCGCAGGTAGAGCCGAGCGGGGGAACTGGGTCAGCGGCTAAAAATACCGCGCGGGATGGAGGAGGATCCCGCCGCGGCTCCCGGGACGGCGGCCGCCCCTCCTGGGGGCTGTCGGCGGTGCCGGGGGGCGCGGGGCCGTCCCCGCGGCCGGGTCGGGGCAGGCCGTGACCTTGCTCCAGCCGGGCAAGGTGCGCTGGTTCAAACTCGCAGCCGACGGCGACAAAACCTGCCCACCCTCGTTTCAATTCCTAAACCGCGTGTGACTTCACGGGCGGCGTGCGGGAGCCGTGGGATGCCCCGGTGCCGCACAGCCCGGGTTCAATCACCCGCCCGGGGCAGCGGCCGGGCCGGCCGGGCCGCATTCCGCGGGCAGGGCCCCGGCCAGCCGTGCCGGGACGTGCTGCCTCCTGCCCCGGGCTGCTGCGGGAGGCGGCTGCCTGCCCTGTGTGCCCGCCGCCGCCGTGCCGAGCGTGGGAGCGAGAATTCGCTTGTTCCTGCGAAGTCCTTGCAGTCTCTTCCAATGCACACGGCGGCGGTGAAGTCACCATCCCCGGAGGTGTTTGAGAGCCGTCTGGATCTAGTGCTGGGTATTACTGCTTAGTGGTTTAGGGGTTGCAGTGGCAGTGCTGGGTTGACGTTGGACTGGGTGATCTTAAAGGTCTCTTCCAACCTCTGCGATTCTGTGAACTCAGCTGAGAGCTGCCGTGGGTCTGAGGTTACTGACGCGGCACGCAGCAGTGCTAAGGCAGTGTCCAGGTTACTACAAAAGTCCCAGGAGTCTCTGGCTTAGTTTTCCTGATGACCTAAGCTGCACAATGCCAGACTTTTGTTAATCTTTCTGTTTATGTGAATTATTTACAAATGCAAACCACATAGAAAATGTGTGAGTTTAGTTGTGACTGGCCACAACTTTTAACTCTGCCTTTTAGCGCCCTGTCCATGATATGATTTGCAACCACTTTATGCTCGGCATCCTGCTTTTCAGTGGTAGTAGAGCAACGCTTTGCTCCAAGATTTTTCCACACAGATTTTGGTGGAGAAGATAGTGTCCCTGAGCCCATGCACTAGCTGCTGGAGCTTTAGCACTAAAGTGGTGGCACTGCCTGTAATGCAAGGCAGAGAGGAAGGATCTTTTGCTCATCATTACAAAGCCCCAAAAAGTAAGTTATGCCTCTGTGATGTCTGAGGAGGAGAGGTTTCCAAATGCCAGTAAAGTTGGAGATGCTCACCTGGCATGTCTGGTACACGAGGACACAGCAGGCTTCAGGCTCCCTTTGAGCCAATGTAGGAGTCTGTATCCAGGACAGATTTGGTGACTCCACAGGAAATGCTTTCTTGACATCAAGCTAATTCCCTGACCTTCCTGTCCACCCTCATGTACTATGTACAGTTGCTGGCTATTTATATATGTGATGAATATGATTCAGAATTAAACATGCCAGGAAGACACTGATTCTTTCAACCTAATAATTAAAAAAGGAATACAGCATGATTGCTTTGTTCCATCACCACATGAAAGAGAACTATTTATTTTTATTGTGGTTAGCTTAGTAGTAACAAACAAAATATTTTATTCCCATCTATGAAAAGCAATTCTGCCTGTGTTTATGGGCTTTGTCCAAAGCACGCTGGAGTCAGTAGTATTATGCACGTGTTTTCAGTTAGCACGTGACTGTAAATCTAGTGATCTGGATTAGAGCAAAAGTGCTTTTGGGCTACAAGACTGAGCATTGTACGAAACTTGGACACCCCAAGAGGGAATAATGCCAGTTTTTAGGGAGGGTCTGTATGGTGCTCCAGATCTTGGGAGGCAAATCCTTCAGTAGCACAGCTGAAACACCCTGGCGTGAGTCCACTGCTGTGGCTGAACGTGTGTAGCAAGGGATATGGTGAGATTTCTGTGGTGTCATTAGATTACTGCTCATGTGAAACTGAGTGATAGATGGTTTACATAGCCAGCCTTTTAGCAAAGTTCACAGGCATAGCTCCAACTGTATGTATCGAGGCTAATCTCAATTACAACTTAAAAATGCCTCTGTCTTTCTCACTGTGGGGATGGTCTGGAAAGTATCGACTGATTGCTACAGCTGAAAGCGTGTCGTGTTGATCTTTATGCCGCCAAAGATCACAGTTCATTCAGCGTTCACTGAAACCATTCCACTCCAATGGCTCTTTCATTTTTCCTGGGTTTGTTGTTTGTCTAGGCCTTTCATACAGCAGTAATCAAGGGGAAAAAAATTAAAAAACACAGACTTGGCTTCTTTTAAAATGAGATAATAATGAGGGAATGATGTTTGCTCCTCTACCTTTTTTGCCTCCTCAGCTTTCTTGGTCCATGCATTTTGAGTTTCAGATATGTAGGAGGAAAACTGCAGGATTAGGTCACTGAATGTTGAAAATGAAGGGAGGGAAGCAAGAAAGAAGAGGGAAGAAAGGCAAAAACAAATAGATGAGGAAGAGAAATGAAAGGAAAAGGATGATGAATGGGAGGATAACAAAAAATAATAATACATGGAAAAGAATTGGAGAGACCAGAGCAAGGGTTGAATATCACAATAATTGTGAAAGGAGTAACAGAGTTTTTTATATTCTTTTTTTCTTGTCCATTGGGATTAGTCAGGAGTAGACTCCACAAATGCCTCTATAGGGATTGGAAGGAAAAATTACCCCGAGATGGATATATGTCTGTCTTTAATAATAGATATGATTGCAGCAGGTATAAATAATTTGAAATAGTATCAGGTAACTTGAGTATCCCTAACAGTAAAAATGCAGCAGCACAGGATGGCCAAGTCTGTGTCCTGCTGGTATCCAAGGTAATGGATGGGTTTGAGTAGGTTATTAGGGAACTCAGTTTCTGTTCCTGGCTCTTCATGGATGCTCCTGTACATTAATATTATATGGTAATCATCTAGAAAAGCAGTGTTGTAACAGGGATTGAAATTCAAATTTTCCTGCTCCCAGCTAGGTACCTTAATTGTTGCATTGCAAAGTGATGCCTTGCTTCCCTGGCCCAATGAATGTGGATTAGTTTGTACGGAATAACAGACTTTCAGTAGGGACAATGAAAGGCATTCCTCCCAGCTAGCCTCTGGCCTGATGAGGAAGGGAATGTCCTGGGAAGTGTCAGATAGGACTTCACTGTTGTCCTCATGACTCTCCAGGTCTAACCTTTACCTGTTTAGCCGATGAGAGAACGTCTCCTTCCTCCTGTCATACTTTCGAAAAATGCCAAAGTCTAACTCCAGCCCTTACTCAGGAATGAAATGCTTTAGATGCCAAGAAGGTTCTAGTTGCAATGTCAGTAATTGGCAACTCAGGTGCTTCTCACACTGGTGGTTGGAGATTCTGGTCCAAGGTACTGCTGCTTCTGGTGTGGTGGGGAGTGGGAGCGCATGGCCTGAGCTGTGAGGTCCTGGGCACTAAACTGGTGCCAGAATATGGAGGCTTCAGCTCTTAACGCTGCAACAGCTTGGCCTGTGGTGCATTTATAGTCTTATCCTGGCTGTATTTGGGAAAACACCATGTTGTGGATTTGTTCATGGGACACAGCAGTGTGTTCATGGGTAATTCTCTGGCATCAGGAGGCTGACTTCCGTCAGATGAAATTTCTGCAGGCTGGAGGTTAATGTATGCTGGTGTGATGGGTTTTTCTTTGGATTTTTTTGTTTGTTTGTTTGTTTGTTTTGTTTGTTTTTTGTGGTAGAGAGAGGGCCAGTGGAGACATGTTATGACTGTTGATAACTGCATTTAATTTTTTTTGGCAAGTGGTAAGTACTGTTCGCCTTTATTTGTTTATGCAGACTACATTTAAAGTACTGCATTAATACAAAGCAAACCTCTCTGCAGGCCAGTGCCAATTTTGGTTGAAGAAAAGTATAGCACCACAGTTGAGAGTCTTCATTATCCTCTGAGTCTCAATTACTAATGAATATTCTTTAATTTTTGTTACCACAAACTTCACATGTATATGACTTATTTGAATTAAATTGTATACTTCCTGCTTTGACAACATACTGATGAGGCATGCTAGAGAAAATCATTAGGAGTAGTCCTGCTGAAAATGTTGAAAATGTCTTTGGATGGTAATTTGGGTTCAATCCTGTAATTTTGCTGGTGATTGTACCTGTAATGGCTACAAGTAACATCATTCTAAGAATCCTTGGTATTTTTTTTCCACAGTTTAGAAAACAATCAGACTGTGGATATGCTCACAAAAAGTACTGGTACAGATCTCTGGGCTAAATTAGTCACATATGTAATTTTTCTTTCCTATGCTTTTGAGTAAAGCAAGGTTCAGACCTCTGCTTACAAGCAGCACTGGTGGAGAACAGAAAATACTCTGAACACTTTAACCGTTAGGCTGATTGTAGTTTACTTGAATCCCTAATGTAATACACTCTTCCCTTCATGGGCCATTATCTCCAACCTCTACAATAAACCTCTACATTGTATGTCTTATTAATTATTTATTCCTTCCATTATTCTTAAATGGACAGTAAAGAATTGGCTAATGGTTTCTAGCACAATTCATAAAAACAAATCTGTTCAATAATTTTTTGGAAGCATTTTCTTACGGCAAATAACATAATAAGGAAAGCCTTAAGTTTCATCTTGTGTGGAGTTAAAATACCGCATTAACTGCTTTATTCCTATTAATATGTCAAGAAATTGAGATAAGATTTTGTCCTTCCTG